AACATCCTTTTAGGGGATGTTCAATGACTTTATACAATCAGTTCACTGCTGACTGAACCTCTGCTCCAGCTAGCAAATCCCCAAATCTTTAACTGCTTTTCAGCTGACTCTTTTCTCTTCCTGTCCTTCCTAGCCTAGTTTGTCCTACTTCCATAGTATTCAGCTCAGTTTTCCTACCTACATTGCAGGTGCATCTGCTACAACTTAATAAAAGTGCACCTCCATCAAGCTGTTATTTCAGTAAAAAGTAGCCTACTCATCCAGTGTGTGGGAAAATAATGACATTTAGAAAACTAAATATAATCTTTGTATTAAATAAATAAAATCATATTACACACATGAATAACTGGTGTTAAAGTAAACAAGTTGCTGCTTGCTCCATGTGATAATGTGGGTGGCAGTTAACTGAATTTCTCACAACACAAAGAAAGATTATGTGGAAACTGGTGCAGAATTTCATCCTGTTTAAGCCATGACAAAGCCCAGTCATATAATAACACTAATAATACTAATACTAATAATCAGTAAATTGCAAAAGGCACCTTTACTTGGAACAGATTGCATCTTGAGACAAAACTTTTAACACCATCAAATAACATCTGCCTGTCCCACATCCTTCCTGCTTCCTTCCTTCCTTCCTTCCTTCCTTCCTTCCTTCCTTCCTTCCTTCCTTCCTTCCTTCCTTCCTTCCTTCCTTCCTTCCTTCCTTCCTTCCTTCCTTCCTTCCTTTGTTTATCACTCAACTTGTGAATAGCAGTCCTGGTTGGCTGACATAAAACACAAGACAAGAGAGGCAATAGATATAAAATTTCCCCAAATCACAACACTATATTACAACTGATGCCAACTATGATCATATTAACATTCCCAAATATTTTAGGAAGGACTCATCTAATATCCTGCCCATACCAGGATTCTTGCGGGAAAAGACAGATTTTCAGGACCTTATAGAAAGCCAGCAGAATCTCATAGAGATCAGCTGTTCCAAAGGGCAAGTTCTGTAATAGAGAAGATATACTTCTTGAGTCCTGCTAGATAGGATTTTTTTTCACAGAAGGATACAGCCCATACCAACCCCTGTTCACCAGCCCTGTTCAAGTGTTGGGAAAATTGTAAACTTAAAGAAGAAATCCTAGAATATTGTTCAACTGTCTGGAATTCTTACCACATATTGGACATTAATAGCAATAGCGCTTAGACATATACCACTTCACAGTGCTTTATAGCCCTCTCTAAGTGGTTTACAGAGTCTGCATATTGCCCCCAATAATCTGGGTCCCCATTTTACCGACCTCGGAAGGATGGGAGGCTGAGTCAATTTTGAGCCCATTCAGAATCCTGGAGTGAGCAGTGAATTAGCCTGCAGTCCTGCATTCTAACTACTGCGCCACCTGGCTCTTTAATACAATAGAGCAAATTCAGAAGTATATTACAACAAAAGTCTTGCATTCTTCTGTCCATAATATAATACCTTATGCTGCTAGGCTTGAAATTCTTGGTTTGGATAGTTTAGAACTGCGACACTTGGGGTCAAACTTAGATATTGCATACAAAATTGTACATAGTAACACTTTACCTGTAAATGGCTTTAGTTTTAATCATAATGTAATGCGTGTGAACAACCACTTTAAACTTAATGGAAACCGCTCTAAACTCAATTGTAAAAAATTCAATTTTTATAACAGAATTGTCAAAGCCTGGACTATCTCACCTGATTCAGTTGTCTCAGCCATTAATTTTCACAGTTTTAATTAATTTCTAACTTAATTTCTGTGGACCTCACTCCATATTGAAGGAGTCCTTAAGGGAACATGCATAAGTGTACTGGCATGCCTATCATCCCTGTCACATTTTGATTTTCTTATTTTGTTAGAATTTGTAATTTTTGTTTGATGAATGGATGAATGAATGAATGAATGAATGAATGAATGAATGAATGAGTAAATACCGTGTTCTGTCCTGATCCTTCCACAGTGAATTTCCCATGTTGATGGGAAAAAAAAGTGCAGTAGAAATGGAATACAAAAATGGGAAAATGTGGCCATAATATTATGGCTCCAATTCCTCATATTTGGATTCCCCTTCCTGCTACAGTGGTCTGTGGATGAATGCAGCTATGGGAGAGGGAGCAGTATTATAATGACATCTGAAAAAAACAATAAATACAGAGGAAGTAAAAACAACTTAATGGCTCTTAGCAGGCAGGAAATTCACTAGTCCCCAGAAAGATCTATAATAACTGCATTTTAGGTAGTTTTCAGAGCTCCAAAACTGTTTCTATTTTTCAAAACACATTATAGCTTAGAATGTTGTGTGATGCTAGCCATACACACTAAGCTATGATTAAGCAAACCACAGCACAATGAGTTTGCATTAGGTGAGATCCAGGTGAATCATCACTCATTAGCTTCTCTTAACAATCTGCACATTATTTTATAGCAATTGCTTTCATTTAGAACATTTTCCTTTGGAGCAGTGTCACCAATTTATATATACGAGCAGTTGACATCCTGCCAGAATTCTGTTGCAACAGTCCCTCATCACCACTTGTCCTAACTAGCAGCATGGATGCAGTTCTGTCAAAGTTGTAATTATCCATGGTAGACTTAATAGGCAGCCACAATTTTGACCCTCATATTTTGATGGCCATTTTTTTTTCTTCTGCAACACAAGCCTACATTGGATAAGAAATTGTTTGGCTTCCAGCTCATTTCAGCACTGATTTCACATAGATAACTTATCCATTGAAATAGACGATTGCAGCAAAGTTACCAGAGGCTGGGGTGGGGGTACTGGTTATCTACTGGGACTTCCCTCTTAGAGAACAGTTTGCCCCTAGAGATAAGACTAGTCGCCTCCTGTTGATATTTCAGACTCTTGTTTTTAAAAAAATCTTTGGGGACTAAGAATTGTAGGAGAATGTAGGTTGCAATAAGAGAATTGTGATATATATAATGGAATGTTTGTATTTTGAACTTGTAAGTTTGTATTGGCTTGTTCTACAATGTAGTGATAATATGTTATAGGACTTAAATCTGTTTGAAGCAGCACAGAAGTAGTAGTGTAAATAACATATTTTCCAAAAGATGCTGTTTATTAGGAAAAAAAATATGGTTGGCTTGGTTTGATCAGGCAATATTGCTAATATTGTTCAAACGTGTTTGCAGGAATCTACTAAGATCCCATTCGCTATATCAGAATAGTCTTTTAAAGGCTTGATTATAACTGTTAATGATAGCAAATTAGAACCTAGAAGAACATCCAGTAGTGCTACCAAGGGCTGCAATGTCTGGTAATCTCCCAAACATTGTTCTTCTGCCACACACTCATTTAATGAAATTTCTAGGAATATTCATTGTTATTTAATAACTATATTACAAGAGGTTATCACAAAGGAAAACATTACAAAAGCAATACTTTGTGGAAGAAATTGTTTCCTAAAAATTTATATTTGCTTCAAGTAATTTCCCTCTTCAGGTTAAATAGGCTATCATGATGTAATTTGGGTGCTAGGAAGTGTCCATTGAGACAATAAATTGTTTAGAAATTCATTATTAAGTTTTAAAAGTGCAGCTTACAAAAATCACACTTACAAGTGATGATTTTAGTTGTAAAGTCCTTGGGAGAGTGGTGCAACTAAGTTATACTTCCAACAATAACAACCCAATAATTATTCAGAATTTTGACAGAAAAGGACATCAAGGAAGGAATTTCGAATATAGGCAAAATATAAAGTAAAAAATGGGGGTGAAGTTTCTGGCAGTATCATCATCATCAGTTATTCATTCTAACAAAAAAACAACAGTATATCAAAAGGGAAAATAAAACTTAGCTTATGATTGAAAAGGGTATAAAAGATGGTTCTACCTCCAGGGGAACAGTAATGAATAGGAAACAAGTTAGGCTGGTTTTAAAGACTATGTGGATATTTACGTGGCAAACAGCTGTGTAAGTATGCTTAAGAGACACGTAATACTTCCCCATGAACAAGACAAATTTGAGATACAACTCATCAAGTATTATAAGATTTTGTTGTACAATTAAGGATATAAGTGAGAATCAAGTGTTCACACAATTTATTTGTTTATTTAAATAGAGATTGCATAAACCATTGCTCTGGTGCTCTTTTTCAATGCAGAGAATCTCTCAGTAATTTAAAACCAGATTGCAGAACCCATGGTCCAGGGATCACATTTAGTTGTTAACTTCTTTTCTTTATAACCACTTGAAATTATAGAACCAAACTTCAAGGGTAAATTGCTGAAAAGCATGATTTCTTGCTGTGTTGTGGCAGAAAACCAAACAATAAGAAAATAAGGGGTCCTTGGTTGAGCTTGCTTGCTTGCTTGCTTGCATGTAAGAAAACAAGCAAGCTCAGAGAGCACCAAGGACCCCTCATTTCAACCCTGAGCTACAAATATTCGCCTTCATTAATATGAAAATAAATATTTCCTTAGGAGATGAAGCAAACACCCTCAGGTTCCATGCAGCAGTTCCTTGCCCAACATAATCACCTTACTTATCCCAATCTTGGTCATGCAAATATTATAAAATAGTGTAACACGCCCTTTCCCAATATATTTAATACATGTTTAAATACAATGCAAAAGCAGAACTAGTTGTGCAGTTTAGCTCAGCAGGGAGAGTCCAGGCCTGAAACTTGATAAACCAAGAAACATTTCTAATTGAAATGCCTTCCCTCCTCCTCCCCACACAAATACTGACCCTTGTCACGTTTTTCCAGTTTCTTTGAATTTTTTTTAAAGAATCCTGTTTACTAAAAGAGAGGTTTTAGGTGTGTGATGGCATGAAAAATCCTCATCCTTTCCAAAGTCAAGGGACAGTTCAGCAATAGATTCTCTCAGCTGAGGGAGGCTGGAAGAGAACAACTGACTTCTCAGCAGCTCAGAACAAAGTTTGGACTCTTCCCAACTGAGCATCAGCTCAAATGAATCTGGCAATGCTACAAAGCAAAGTGGAAATCGCAAAGACGTGCCAACCTTTTTCAGCATGTACTGAAGTCCTTAATGTGAAATTCTTGAAGAGAGTGCAATCCATTTTCTTTCTTGCTATGCAAGATGGTGGAGGAGAAAACAGCCTATGAAGATCTTATTGCAGGCTGATTTTTTTCTTTTGTTGACGGATATGTATATTTTCCTTGATTAACAAGTTATATCACTTCTAGGGATTGGTGTGTTATAGAAGTGTTTTCCCTCCTGGTAATCTTTTAGAGTAATGCCAGTGCTCCCCGATGCCAAGAACTCATCATATTGTATAAGCTTTTAGTTGTTCTCACTTGAAATCTTGCAGGATTTTACTCTCCCCTCTTTATGTTCCATCTTAAGAACATATGGTATATAATGTGGTTATTTCATGAGACTTCACCCTTTTAATACATGTGGTGGTTATCAGAAGCTTTTGGTGACTACAAAATGGTCTCCATAAAGGAAAACATTAGAAAATGCTGTGTTAGGTAGAATAATCCTTGGGGACTTCTTAATGGCCTTAAGGGCTTTGTGCTCTCTCTCTATTTTCATGGATACTGATTTTCTCTATTCTTTCATAGATTCTCAGGGCAGTGCAAGACACAATAACTTGCCTTTGTCCTGCAAATATGGCTGAAAAGGGGAAACTAAGATTTGCTTCAAATCAGGCAAGCAGAGTAGAAATTTGATTAGAGGAAGGGAAAGGAAGGGAAAAGCTTGAGATTTTTTGAAACTTGAGATTCTTTGAAAGATCTCATTTGGTCATACCTCAGTGTAGCAGTTTATTGGTCCCTGGTTTCCTTACATTTTGTTTGAAAGCAAAATAGAAATACCACATCGGGAATAATGAAGAGTAAGAGTAGCACCGTAGCTGTCTAGTACCCCAAACTGAACCAACTAGTTCCAACGGAAGACAATATCTGCAGCTCAGAGTTGAACTATAGAATCCTTGGTGCTCTCTGAGCTTGATTGTTTGCTGTCATTTCATTACCCAGTGAACTAACATCATCAGTGCATCATCTTACCTGGCTGAGTAATGGAATGCCTGCAAGGAAACAACCAAGCTCAGAGAGCACCAAGGACTCCACAAAACCAACCAAACTATTTTGCTTTGCTAGCTATCCCTTTTGTGTAAAATTGCTAAGCAAGAACAACTATGTGGCTCACTTTTCTTACATCAGCATGACAGGGTCAGGCTTTTTTTTCTTTCTCCCTTGCATCTGTCAGGTTGTGTTGGATTGGGGGAAAAAAAATCTCTAAAGTGCTCTAAAGGCAGGCCACACTTGCAGCCTGGTTTGTCGGTGAAAAGAAGGATGATTCCCGCAGTATCTCTTTGTGTTCTTGCTGGGAGTTCTTTAATTAAAATTCTCCCACACCAGGGGCAAGAATTGTTCCTTCATTTGGTATACAGGATAAAGGGAGAGGAGTCTCTCTCTTGCGGCAATTGCCAGTGCATTTTGTTTAAAAGAAATATCCCTGAGGATGTGAACTAATGTTTATTGTTACTTGTATTATTTTTTTATTACCTTTATTATTATTTATCTTAATGCCATGGCGTTGTTTTTCTGCAGTTGAGCACATTAGAATGAAGGTGGGGAATACACTTTTATAGGCATACACACACACACACATATACATACAGAGTGAGATTGGCAGTCATAACTATGCTCTTTCTGCCTGGGTGGCTGTTTGTTAGATATTTTCCTTGGCAATACATGATTGCCAAATGATAAATGATATAGATGAAACTGTAGTTGTAGTGTCTCCTGAAAAGAAAGAACAAATGCCTAGTGGGAAGATTTCCAGCCCCAAATTGTGATAAGCAAGGTTTGCACAAAGGACAGACTGAATAAGAATAAAACAAAGGTTCATCTAGTTTAAAGATGCTGCCTCTCAAGCTGCAAGTTCTTCTATGACTCCTTATTTCGAAGTCAGTCGCATTGATACATGTATCCAGTGCTTTTTTTCTAAAAAAAAAAAAAAGGTGCCGGAACTCACACACATCATACAACCCGCCTTGCCTACCCTACAAGGTTCCATCCCAAAAAGGCGCCAGAACTCCGTTCTTGGCGTTCTATGAGAAAAGAAGCCCTGCATGCATCACAAATGAAGGACATCTGATTGCAGAGAGTGGCAATGTACTGATTGACATTAGAGACACAGGTTTTCAAGAACATTCTACAAAGAGAGCAAAAATAAATCTTACCTTAGCATTGAACACAGTGACCAGAAGCCATGTCTGCTCTTTAAATGCAAAGTTTACGGCCCCACCTTTCTCTTTTAAGGTCCCTTTATCTTGAAACCGGATTTGGACTGGGCAGCCCTTTAAAAGGAAGAAAGTGTCAAATTAAATGCTAACTTTTGACAGCCCTGCCAACAGAAGAGGGTCTCTTTCATAACGTTGTTCTGCCAGCTAAATGAAGTTTACTTTTGTATTGTCACATTTAATAGTGCTTTGTGATAGCAGATGAAAGCGCTGGCCATTAAGGACATGCATTTGTTCTAGTAATAAGTAGAAGAGCAAATAAACGGGCTTAACCTTTCATTGGTAAAACTACTCAGAATTCAAATGATTGACTCTATGAGATACTTTACTGTACAGTGCATATTTTTTTACTTCTGTCTTTTTAATATATTACGTGGTCAGTTGAGTACAGGTAGTCCTTGACTTATAACAGTTCATTTAGTGACTGTTCAAAGTTACAACAGTACTGAAAAATATGACTTATGATCATTTTTCAGAGTTACAGCCTTTGCAGCATCCCCATGATCAGGTGATCTAAATTCAGAGCCTTGGCACCTGATTCATATTTATGACCGTTGCTGTGTCCCAGAATCATGTGATCACCGTTTGTGACCTTCTGCCAAGCAAAGTCAACCGGGAAGCCAGATTCACTTAACATCCAGATTACTGACTTAAAATTGCAGTGATTCACTTAACAACTATGGTGAGAAAAGTCATAAAACTCACTTAATAAACCTTTCACTTAACAACAAAAATTTTGGGCTCAGTTGTGGTTGTAAGTTGAGGACTACCTGTACTACATTTTGCCTAATCAAAATAAATAAGTTTTTATTGTTTCCTTTTTTTATATATCTGGAACCTAGGACAATTTGTACAGGTCACAGGAAAAATGGCAGCAGAAGGCAATGGTTAGAGAGATGAGACAGACTATGAAAGCTGACAATTTGGAAACTTACATTTCAGCAAAATCTTTAAAGAAAAGAAGAAGGCATTGAGAGTTGCCCATTGAAGAAGCACAGAAGTTGCCAAGTCCCAGATTTTCACGATATGATGGAATGTATTTTCCAGTTCCAGCAATTATTTCTAAAGCTTATTTATGCATTTACACTAGGACAGACAAAGCTATGCCAGTATGTACTTTCTCTGCATGTGATGATGCTTGTTTCCTTCATTTAGAGCAGAGTTTCCCAAACTATGAGGTGCAGACAAAATCCAGGGAAGGTGTGAAGGACCTTTTAGCTATATTGTTAAAATAAAATCACCATTCCCAAAGTTTCATTGTATTGTTTTCATTATTCTCTTTGATTGTTGGATATTTAGGGGAGATGTGTACTGTAAGACTATGGGAGATATGATTACAAACAGTTTAGTAACTGCTGATTTAGAATGATATGTCAGTAATCACATCAAACATTTCATATTGCATGTAAATGAAACAAAGTTTTTTTTTATCCCTAAGCATATTGCCATCTTTTGCTGTTGGGGTGGTAATAATAGGCTGCATTCTTTTCTGCTCCTACTCGGTAATTTGGCCGACAGTAGGCACCATCCTTCCCTTCTCATCATTAGCCCTATTTTCATAGCCATTTTGACTTGGCCTTCAAGGGAGATTGGCCACCTGTTACTCAGGCAACCTATGGCTAAGCTGTCCATCCCAAGCACCTGCCTACATTTACCCAGCCCTTCCCATATAAAAGAGAACAATTGGCGGTTGTTTTTCCTGTTGGCAGTCGATCCTCCGATGTGGTAGTGGTGGGGAAATGTAAACAAAGCTGGAGGACTCCACCTATTACTTCTCTTACATTGTCTTGCATGAAACTGTGAGGCAGCACCACTCACTGGTCTCACTGAGGCAGAATAGGGCTCAATAGTTGGTGCAGCACAATTTATACTGGCATGCTTTTTAAGGACTGGCCAAGAGCACATTAAGACAGCTGTGAGCTCTTGCTTAATTATAGCTTATGCAAACTAGTTCTTCCTTTTGTTTATTCTCATTCCATTTCAGCAACTTCCATAAAGCAAAGTCAACATGATGAAGGAAGGCATGAGAGGCAAACCCCACACTCAGATGGAATTCACTGAAAAAGCAGAATGTCACCTAACATAAGGACTGTCAGTTTTCCTTTCTGGTGGCTAGCTTTGTTTCTTGATGTAGAAAATATCCTAGCAATGCTTGGGATTAACTCAAATATTATAGCAACAGAGTTATTTACCCTCTGTTTATTCTGCTGTTTGAGAATGACTGAAGAATTGTTTTATTTTCTAAATTTAGGTTCCTGGAGATGCTAATCAGAAATAAGGAATGATTTGGGGAGGAAAGTGCACTGTGGATATGACAGAAAATGTGAGGCAAAGCAGCAGTTACATGCCAATGGAAGCAATAAAGCTCCAGTTGGGGGTGTCTCTTTTAGCATGGAAAACGGTATCGGGTTGTAGAGTAAAGCCTGGGAGGTGATAATCCTTCTTCATACTTTCACCATTGGATGCCTCAAAATCATTTCTAACCTAATGTATATTACGCCACAGGGGTTTGGTTAGTACAGTCCTTCCATCTGATTTTCAACAAGGGTCAAATTGCTTTATTTGAGGGTTGGGGAAAATAATTGAAAATGCAGCCTCTCTTCTCTTTTCTGTTGTTCTTCTCTCACTTTCAGCTTCTCAAGGCTGCTTTGTTTCATGCATTTACTCGTAAGATCTACTGTATGTTGCTTCTTAAACACCATCCTGCTATGAGTTATTGTCTGGTACTGGAATGGCTGTGCAAAGTTTATGATAGGCAATATTCTGTGGGGATTTTTTTTTTTTTAAAGTCAAACATTCTTGTCCAAACAGTT